TCGTAGTGTAGAGGTAATGAAAGATCGGGAAAACGTAAAAATAGTCGGTCAACGGACTCGATTACAATATAGAATGGTCAAACACATTTAGCTTGTTACTGGTACTACTTATCTATTATAGTTATTTGTTTTAATATATAAAAGTTATCATAAATAAAGGTTCGAAAAATCTTTTTTTTATTTTTCGAACTAACGGGATTTGTTGGGCTGTAGTTCAGGGGCGAGGGAAGTCCTCGAAATAACATTTGTCCATTTTTATCACGCTTTTATTAGCTTGGGTTGTATGTAACGGAATCTTTGAGCTTAATTTTCATCGGTTTCTAAAAGTCTGATCATCTTGAAACTTTGCACACGTCTCAAGGATCGATGACAATGCAATAATTTGATAACAGTTTCCCATTATCCTTATTAGGACCGCCAGGATTTATAAATTCTTTTATGGATCCTGTGTAGTGGAGTAAAAGAGATAAAGCTAGCGCGCGATCTGCGCATGCCTGTAGTATCTGGTTTACTCTTCGTTGTAATAATTATAGTCTTGATTACAATACAAATAACGGATATTAAATGAAAAAAACAAGAACGGACTTTTAATTAACTAAACGTGTGCAAAAATGGCTGATCGCATCTTAATTGTGTCAGTATATACCACGGTTATCTCTCTCCGTGTCGATTATACCGATCTATACCGATTATTTCTGTTTCAAGGACAATTTCTGCATAGCTTTGGTTTTACAGTCGGTAAAGAAGGAATTAATTATAATTAAAACATATCTAATCATGAATTCTCACCAACTTAAATAAAGATAACAAATTTTGATTCAGAAATACAAACATGGAGGAAAATTAACTATTTGGGGGGTAAAACTAACCACAATGATGAATTGTGTCCCGTTGGTCCGTGAGGGCGATTGATTTCGAACTAATTCCCGTTGATCGATCATACGGAGACCACTGAGTGGTTCTTTCTAGAAAAATCTAAATAAGTAATTAATTCCCCAATTTATGAATTTGTCGCAGACTAAAAAATGAAAAATAAATAATAGTTTAAAAAACTAAAAAAACACGCTTTTATTGCTAATCGAACTAAAAACTAGAAAATAATTTTTAATGACAGAGTTTAATATTACAGTAGTAGAAGATCAAGCAATCAATCATAATAAATCACCTCAAATTAAAATTATAATAAAATTTAAGTTATAAACAGAATAATTCAATTCAGAGTAAAAAGCGTGGGGTGCATTTTACTGCGGTTCATAACTATCCTCTCATAGATAGTTGCCAATAGAATGATTGTAATATTTAAAATATCAAGCACCCCACACTTTTTACTCTGAATTGAATTATTCTGTTAATAACTTAAATTTTATTATAATTTTAATTTGAGGTGATTTATTATGATTGATTGCTTGATCTTCTACTACTGTAATATTAAACTCTGTCATTAAAAATTATTTTCTAGTTTTTAGTTCGATTAGCAATAAAAGCGTGTTTTTTTAGTTTTTTAAACTATTATTTATTACTTCCCGAGCGTAAGCAAAGGAAGTATTGTAATCGAGTCACTTCAAAATTGTACATAGTAATTGAGTTTTCAATTGTATCAAATAACATAGTCTTACACATGTAGTTTATGACTTCGAATTGAGATTTTACCCGAAACATCCAGATTTTTGGAAAAAATTAGGAAACAACATTTTGAGATTTAATTTGGAATCTACAAAACCAAATGCTTTGAAATCTTGCAGATGGTTTACAGTTATGAAAAGCATGATAAAATTTTAATCAGAATATATTTAGTTATCCCCTCCAAAAAATTGATGACGTCACCCCAAAATTTTGCTGAATAAATCCTAACTAAAATGTACAAAATATGATGAGCCTTTTTTTGTGACTTATCATTCCATTCATATTTTTTGATATGCATATACAGGGGTGCCCGAAAAAAATTAATGAATGCGTGAATTTATTTTATTGAATTAATCAGGAACTATAGAACCGAAGGCTTTGAGATTTTGCAAATGTTTTAAGGTTATAAAGAGCATAACAAATTTTTATTCAAAATATATCCCCTCCAAAAAATTGATGACGTCACATCAAAAGTTTGCCAAAAAATCCTATCTAAAATGTACAAAATATGATGAGTCTCTTCTTGTAATGTATCATTCCATTCATATTTTTTGGATGTGCATATACAGGGTGACTCAAAAAATTTAATGAATGCACATATTTATTTTATTGATTTATTAATCAGGAACTACAAAACCGAATGCGTTGAAATCTTAGAAATGTTTTAAATTTATGATAAGCATGGTAAATTTTTGATCAAAATATATTTGCTCATCCCCCCTAAAAAATGGATGATGCCACCCCAAATTTTTGCTGAATAAATCCTATCTAAAATGTCCAAAATATGATGAGTCTCTTCTTGTGATTTACCATTCCATTCATATTTTTTGGATTTGCATATACAGGGTGACCCAAAAAAATTATGAATGGGTAAATTTATTTTATTGATTTAATCGGGAACTACAGAACCGAATGCTTTGAAATCTTGCAAATGTTTTAAGGTTATAAAGAGTATAATAAATTTTTAGTAAAAGTAAAAATATGTTTGCTTATCCCCTCCAAAAAATTCATGAAGTCAGCTCAAAATTTTGCCGAATAATGCTATTTAAAATGTACAAAATATGATGAGTCTCTTCATATTTTTTGGATTTGGATATACAGAGTGACTCAAAAGATTTTATGAATGCGCAAATTTATTTTATTGTATAACCAATAACTACAAAACCGAATGCTTTGAAATCTAATGCGAAAAAAAAACATATAGGTATGCAGTCGTCACGTTTCCGCCAGCGAGGGAAATACTGTCTAAACTCATTAAATCAATTTTTTAGATTTGCTTAAACAGGTGGATTAAAAAAAATTATGAATGAGTCACCAATCCAAGTTGGTATACGTGTCCTTGCAAAAATAAATAACGTCATCACAAAATTGTGTAAAGAAAAACTCAACTCCAAAATGCTGGATATGTTTCATTGTACTTCAGGTGCGAGGGAAGTTCTGTCGAAACAACTTTCGACCAATTGTTTTGATCTGTGTTAAGATATTTTATTTTAATTTTAGTACATTTTATTGGACACACTTCTTCACACCGAGAGGGGAATAAAAACACCATCAAAAACAGCTATGAATGTTTGAAGGTTTGTTTTTGTTCGTTGCATTTTCAACTCAAATTTTCAAATTGACGATAATCTGACAAAAGGAAAATTCTATCAAAGACCAATCTTCAAAGATCCATAGCTGTCTTTGATCGTGTTTTTTATCGGTCTCTCGGTTTCTAATTCGTGGAATAATCACATTTTCCTATAATACTATTTAATAAAATTTTATTTAGGAAAATATTTTGTGTTTTAACATAATCCCTCATGTGATGATCTTCTTGGCTTTCTCAATGCGAACTTTAATTTCGTGTTGCCCTAAACCTTTTCACTTGAAACATATACATAGTATTAGTATGGTTTTTTACAGCTGAATAGTCTAGACCGTGATCCACACATACCTTTGTTTTAACTTAAAGCAGGTATAAAAAAAAAATAAAATTCGTAAAATCTAATTTTATAATTTTTCTAAGAAACTGGATTTGTTTGATTGTACTTCCGAGGCGAAGAAGGTTCTGTTCAAAGAATCTTGGACCAGTTTGCATATTATTGTATTTAGTTTCTATATATCTTCACTCGTTTCATGTTGCTTTTTTACTTTATTAACTTAATGAAAATTAGATTTATAGAATATATGTGTTAAATACCTAAAGGTTTAAGTTCTCTATGTACTTCAAATTCTACATTTTAAGTAGTGCTGCATTACAAACATCAAATTTAGTTGAAACTTTACTAAAAACTTGTAACTGGATATGTTAGAAAAAAGCTGGTCTGGTTTTTTCTCATACATTTCTTGATCACGAGGAGACCACGAAGTATTAGTCACGCTTCAAAGGACAACAGAAGTACTATTTAAATTGTTTATATCAAACTGTTTGAGCTGCCCAAGAGCACCTGATTTGTATTTTGCGTTTATTGTCTGCGAATCGTTTGAGTTATAGTTATTTTGTCAACTACATTTGAATGTGTCGGATTTAAAACTTCAAGTTTGCATTACCCGAGTTTAAGAACCATTAAAGATAAAACTGCTAATTTTTCTATCAGTTTCCCAGAAGAGACGATTTTTTCTAAATTTGTTTATACTTCATATGTCAAAAATATGTCAAAATTGTTCAGTTGATAAGATTATGGCACCACATTCGTCTTACAAGAAACATGTAAAATTTGCCAAGTCCAGATCCCCAATTCCGAGGAAAAAGGCACCAAATAATGCAGATAGTTATGCCAATATTGTCTTACACTATTTGTCTAAATTAAAGGGATTATTTCAGTCACCGAGAATCTACAATAAAGATCTTGCAAACTATTTTACTAGAGGGAGCTTCGATAATATATCCAAACCTATATTGAAGAAGGACCCTAGAAGAGTCAATTCTTATTCAGAAAGTGAATCAGAGTCTAAGCAAAAAGCCTACGACATTGTCACCGCTGCAATTCAGTATGGATGCGCCAACAATATTATCGAAAAAGTGGGGAACTACTTCTTGGTAAAAAACAAATCGGAGCAAAAAGTTTCCACGAGGAGACCCACGCCAGGACCGGACTACATTAGGTGTGCGAGTTGCAAAAACTTGGCAAAGTATTCCAAAAGGCGTAGTGTGACGAATATGAGGAGCAGAGACAAAATTTCCAGTAGGTATCGAAAAAGAAGTGGCTATTACGACGACGACTACGGACGGACTACTCCAAACAGGCGAAAACGGAGCAGTTCTAATACCTCTGTTGTTAACTATTGTCCCAAATGTTACGCCAGAATGAGGTCCAATAGAAGACTATAATTTATAATGCGTTCTTTCTGCAATCAAACCAACAATCAAAGAATAAACAAATATAATCATTCGTCATGGTACAATAGTGATTCTTAAAACTATTAACAAACTAAATGTATCTATTTATGTAGTTTAAAAATATTCTTTTATCTTTTTCGTATTCTTCAACGGGTTGTTGATCGTGTTCGTGGTTCAGCAAGTGAAGATAAACTGAACCATTGTCAGCCGCAATCATCTAAAAAATTTGGAATAGTTACAAAGTTTGTAGTAAAACTATTAACTTACCATGTAAGTTTCTTCATGGGTGCCATCACTGCCACTAATTATTGGCGACAGTTTCATACACACAATGTTTTCTTTGAAAGGAACAGAATAAATGGGAAACATATCGCTAACCTTCAAGTTCCAAACGTGTATGGTGTTTGTAACATCTTTAGTGTAAAAAACTGATGGGCGGTTGTGTGACCACTGGATTTTCTGTATTTGGCATTTGCCTTCAGTAGCATCTTTGTTAGATAATACCTTCAAAGGTTTTTCCACATTGCGAGAATACAAGTTTATATTGCCATTATCAAATCCAGCCAGGACATAGTCGGAAGAAAAGGGACACATTTCTAGGCAAGTTGCTTGTGACTGGGTTTCTGGAAAACAGTAGTAAAACACCTTATAGATGTTATTTATTTAACAAATAACACCTGGTAGTAATTTCTTTACGCTGGTTTTCCCTCCGTTCGACAAACAGTGAATAATTATTCCATAACTGGTTGAAATGTACAAATCGCTCGAATTCAAAGGACTGAGAACCATATCGGTACAATTGAAATCGTCAATTTCTGGATATAATTGCTTCAAAGATATTTTAGTGTTTATGGTTAATATCACAGATCCCCAATGAGCTAAGCCTTGTTTTTCTACCACTTTTCCTTCATTTTTATGTTTAAAAATGACACTCCACAATATAACATCTCCATCTATGTCCAAACTACACACCTTAAAAACTATTATTAGTATTTGTACAAACACCGATTTAATAATACCTCAGTAGCTTTATGGACGGTAAATAGATGTTTCTCGGTCGATTTGTTTGTTATGGGTTGAATAGTTACAATTTTCTGATAATGGCCATATTTAATTTCACTAATTTCCGTGATGTACGTTGGACTGCGGTAAACAACATCGTCCTTATTATTGCCATAGACATTTTTGTGGTATTTTGAATTCTCTGTGGTATCCCAAACGACTAATGATCTGTTAACTTACTTTGCTAAAACTGTGGCCAAATTTATTGCAAACCTACCCGTTATTCAAACCTCCAAAAAGTAAATTTGGACATTCCAAACTGACAGCACAACAAGTAATTTCGCCATACGCAAACAGCAACATTTCAGGCACTTCAACATTAGATATATTCCACAAACAAATAACACTTTTTTGAAAATTATCTTCACTCTTCTGTCCGTGAACAGTGAAGATTTGATTAGAGTTACTTGACGAAAAACAAACATCAACAAGTGGCCTGTCTTTGACTATATCTTGAATTTGGGTATTGTAACGAACACAACTTTTACTGAAAGGTATGTTGCTGTTATTGTTAGTTTGAGCATTAACTTGTACATCCACTTCTGCTTGTAAATTAAGTATGAGGTTTCCTGCATTTAGCAAAAATTTTTCCAAACTGTTTTCATTGAAGATATCTACACGTTTTTGTCTATCCACGGTATCCCCACCTACACCTAAGTAATTGCACTTGTACACCTCCCAAAAATCTTCACTTTCTTCAAACTGGGGAAAGCAAGGCGGACACTGCGTCCATTTGTTACTGTAATGAATTTCATCCGTTTGTACTTCTTCATTTAGATCGTCTTCTCCCGTTTGGACCGAAGCTTGTACACTATTGCTTTTACCGTAGCTTTTTATGAAAACGTCGTAAGGCACTGGCGCTGAATCATATAAAGTAAAACTATACGTGTCCAATCTAATCATACTCAAGATTTCTTCGCCACGCTTCCGTCTTAGTTCCACGCTTTTTCGATGCTGGTACTTTTTCTGAGCTCCGAGAAAGTTAATGAACTGTAGCGACTTCCCATCTTCGAAACCCTCGTCCGACAGTGACCCTAAATTACTCCTATTGTGTTCATGATTCAAATTTGCATTTTCTTTTTCTATGGACTCCTTAATATTGTCCAAAATTTGTCGATGTCTTGATTCGGGTAATTCGTAATTGCCTGAATCTAATTTTTTTTCGTCGTCAGTACCGGCCGAGCTGACCCGTTTTGGAGCAGATTTGAGCTCCGCCGACTCACTTTCGCTGCTTTCAGTGGACGTAGTACCACTTGACAGGTGTGTACTAGTACCTGAAGAATCATATTCGTCGAAATCAGATTCGTACGAATCGAAATCGTCTTCGTATTCAATTGGTGGTTCTTCGACTTTGACAGCGAGAGGTACTTTGATTTTAGGAACCACTTTGGTTTCTGCAAGTTTAACAGGCAAAGTCACTTTTGTTTTGGGTACGTCAGGACCAACAATATTTTTGTTGACGATACTTCCTTTGCGTAGGGTGGCGGTTCTAGGTCTATCGGACATTGAACTGGTGTCTGGTGACACGTCGTCAACTGCTTTAGGGGTGGGTACTTCGTGTATTAGTGAGCTTTTCGTCGTACTTATCTTTTTACTGCCGTCACGCTTAAGTGCATTTGAGTACATTTTTTTACTGGGAAAAAATTGCGATTTTGTGACCCTAGTACTTGGTGGGGTGGCAGGCCTACTTGACGGTGGTTTGGCAGTACTGACTATTTTTTTACCGGGTGCTGGCTTACTTACTTTTTTATTAGAACTGTGACTAAGAAGTGGCTTTGTTGTAAGTTTTTTAGCTTTTTCGTCTTCATCTTCAGTTTTTTTGCTGCGTATTCTGGAAGTAGTTTTAGTTTTGGATGTTTCTTTTTTCGTCGTTTCTGTTGGTTTCTTGGATCTTGTTGTGGTGGTAGGCGGTGGTGGTTTAGGCGTTCCATCTCTTACCTATTATTTAATAGTTATTATGGTGTTAAGTTAGTTTATTAAATTACCTTTCTCGTAGACATAAATGGGGAAACAATGTCACTCACATTTATGTGTGTCAAGTGAACTGCCAACTATACGGGGAATTAAAATATCCCTGAAATAATCAATAAGAGAACGGAATGTATTTCACGCTTTGGTGCTCCCACAGTGAATCGATATTAAACAGCGGGAAAAATAAAAAGCCTTTTATAAAAACAATATTTAATATCACAGTATTTTTAAGTACTTTTACACGCTTTCGTATTATTTAAAAATGTAAATAAATAAATAAGACGTTAATATTCCTATGACTAATGGGACTTTTATAGACGCCGAAGACACACATTCATCACTTGTGGGTAAAATATCTTCTTGATACAAACGCTGCATGGTATCAAAATTCCTACTTCGTGGGACACTCCTCAGTCTTATAGTGCTATCATGGAACAAAATGTTTGATTTTCCATTGTATGGTCCAAACAGTTGCAATGGTGTTGTAAATGATTTGTGGTTTCGTCCAAATAAGTTATCTATTTGCAAAAACACATCCAAAGTGTCTTGGAACCAAAGATCGGTAGTGTTAGCTCGAATCATTGCTTGACCAGCCGGAGCCCAAGATAAATGACAACCTTCCGACTTCTGTTCACACATGACGTTGAATGTGCTCACTTGAATACTTCCATAATAATTTAGAATAGGACCTACAACTCGTTTGATTAAAACAGAGCCTGCAAAAATTTAGTGTTACCTACTGTTAATAAAGTCAGGGAGGGAATTTTTGGATATAAACGCTACATCTCCTTTGCGATCAATTAAACATTGTAATGCCCCCATATCACCCCTGTATGAATTTCCGTCGCAAACTGCTTCGTTTCCCGGTAACCCAGGAATGCAGCTTGCTCCGAAGAAATTTTTAACTGCTGCAGACACAGGGCAGGAATTTAAAGCCTTTCTTTGGTGTAACGAATGAGCTACTGTATTCCACGCAACTCCATCATAACTGGGAAAACAAGCTTTGTAACCTTGAAGATCGGTTAATTTATTAACGGTAGTATCGTTTCGGGTAATTGCAATAGTAAGGTATTTCCCGTCGTCATTGACGGTTTCGTAAAAGAGAGTGCTCAAATTATATTTCTTCATAGCTGGGTTCAATAGATCTGGTGGCACCATTACAATATCAGCAGCATTATTTGCCACAGCATCCATACAGTGGGTAGTATTATCGGCTTTAAGACACTCCAAATCCGGCTCAATTCCATACACAGCAGCTGATTCTCTTAGCCACGCGCATTTCGCGTTTTCTATAATTGAAGTGGTGCAGACTCTTATTGTTCTAGGAGGATGGCAACCAGAGAAACTGTTTGCATTCAAAAAACCAGTCGCTTTTTCTAGGAAAGTTTCAATTGGTTCGATCGGTTGCAATTTAGTGATGGTCAGATGAAAATTTTCGATGAGGTGAAGTACTGCGCCTTGCCAAGAGTCGCTATCGACATTAGTAAGAGTTGAGAGAAACTCTTGAATGTCTTGAGCAGCAGTTCTGGAAAAATAGGAATTAAAATTGCACGAAGGAACATATGAGAAAAGTACCTTTTCGTGGCCACCACTGGCCAAGGTTTCACCACCCAGACGCACGGATTTGTACTATTAAGAGGTTTCGAGGTGCCATCTGGGCACAGGAAGCTGTAACCCTCCGGAGTTGATTCGTTGTTTCCTGGCACTAAACCAAAATGAAGCCTAACATCATCTAGACGAGCCCAGCTAATATCGCCAGCACCATCGGTTAAACAAAACAGCGAACCGCGTCTTCCCCAATATTTATCACTTATTTCACAAAGGGTTGGATTATCACAAAGAGCGCATAAATTCGGGTATTTAGATTCTAAAAAGGCGTATGTCAGGAATGTTTGTGGGTTTTTCTAAAGACTTACTAAGTTCCAGGTTGAGTTTAGGATTGTTGACCCACGGTCCTGCTTTGCAGGCACTGTTGAAAAATTCCGATGATGCTTTGATTCGATTTTCGGTAATAGTGAGCTTAGTGTTACACATTTGAGGAATGATGGAAGCTTCCAAATACTGAAAAAGTAAAGGTTCTAACATTCAGTTATGACTGGTTAGTACATACATTTGCCAAAATCCTGGTCCAGTCAGTTTCATAGCCATACCCAGGGTGACAAAATCGCTTGCCTTTAAGATCATGTCTGCTTCTAATTCTCGCAGAATTTTGTGTGACGGCGACTACCTCGTATTCGAATTTATCTGCAACCAGTAGGTAAACAAGACGTTGTGTGTTACTTGTGAATACGTACTATCAGTGTAGCGTAGTTCGTCCGTAAGCAAAACTTCAATTTCAGAATTAGTTGCTGTTACTAAGTCTTCTGGTGTAAATACTGAGAAATCGGCTTGTCCTTTGGAAATTTTTCTCAAACAGTCTAATCTGTTAATAATGGGTTTTAATGAACATTTTATGCTAAAACTTTGTCGCTTACCTGTCTATTCCAAGAACGCATTCTACTCTACTGTCTGGTTTATCCAAAGTTGGACAGTACTTTCCAGAACGTTTGAAACCTCCTCTTCCGTCTACTACGCATAGTTTATCTAAAAATAAACAAAAATAGTGGTTATGAAATTTTCTATTCTTGTAGAATATATTGGGATTTCACAATTTTTACCACGAGAGATCAATATTTAAGAATCACAGTAATTACTGTGAAAATAAAGTTAATAGTCTCTAATGAAACTCGAACTCTTACAGTTTTAATTCAAAGATTAAGGGACCAGTAATGTATACAACAACGAATTTTTTATATATATTTGGTAGTAGCACTTTCATCGGAAATAAAAGCAACTTTGATTAAAACCAATAATCTTTTGAGGGGCAACTGCAAGCCGTTTTTAGTACGTAAGACTTTTGCTTCTTTGACTTCCTTGACCTTCGATCAAATTATTCTAACTTCCTCTATTTTGATTTTCTTTGGTTTCTTTAACGGACCTTCATTAACTCACGCCGTGTTCACGTGACTTCTAGTGATTTCATGTGTTTATTTAACTTCCGTTTAATTCTTTTGTCAGGAATGTTGAAAATCTTAGGACGTATTAATTATGTCAGTTCTACTTCGCGGAATAAAGATACGATCTACAATCTTATTATACTTTTTGTATTTTACGCTTTTTATGTAACATTATAAGAGTTTTTTCGGTGAATGTTAATATATAATGTATTTATTAGAAGCTGATTCATCAAATCAGTAAATTAAAGTTATTTAAGTAAAATCTAAAGTACAGGAAAACGCAACATCGCTAATTCATTGCGTGACTGAATGAAGAAAATTGTCCAAAATAATGAAATTACTTATGTAATAATGGAAACAAGGAGAAGAAAACAGAATCCAAATTTAAAAAGAATATTGTGCCACATAAAATTAAAAATAAAAATTATATTTCAAATTTGACGTTTAATTTAAATTTTTTATTCACGACAAAATGAAACATTGAACAAAGTAAATATTGTATTAACAACAATTAATAAATTATTTTTATTTATATTTATTCCCGAAAAGAAAACTGATGGGCTCACTCCAGTAAATGAAAAAAAAAAACTATTGTAAAATATGCTCGGATATTTAAATAACGTCTGATAATAATTAATCATTTAGCAGAATTTTTGGGAAAGAGTAATGTATTCTCCATATAGTAACACAAAATTTATTTTTTTCACTAGCAGCCTGGACGCATGCAAATGTCGACTCATTTAGTGGTAGCAAATTCAACTTTTGCTACCACGGGTTCAAAAAGAAAAATTGAGGTTATGTATGCAGTGTTTGATTTGATTATTTCTTAAAAAATGAACAAATGTGTGCTCCAAACATTACTTGAGTATACGCATGGTAGTTGGTAGACGGTAGAAGATAAAATGATTAACTCGGGACAAGTATAAACGGTTTTCTTTGTGTTGAAGATTTAGATCAAGTTTGATTAGAAATCAAAACAAAATCATGTTGCGTCAAAAAATTGAACGTTTATTTTTCAGTTTATTGTCTTATGGTTTCTACTAGTGAAAAAAATAGTATATTAACCACGGTTGCAAAGCCACTTCTAGACCTCGCGCTTCAGAGCCCTCGACGCTGCGCGTCTCGGGTTCTAATTTGCGCTCGGTCTAGAATGCTTGGCTTTGTAACCTTGGCCAATAATATACTATATTTTTGAATGCAGCATGAAAACATTTATTTATTAGTGTTTAGTTTACAAACAGGAAAAAATCGAGTAAATACGAATTAAAACTTATTTTTTAAATACTCGGCATTTTCAACACAAAGTAATCACCGTTGAACAAAAAACGACCGTTATAACAATATTTGTTAAGTATGATCGTTCTTGAAACACATTTTGCAGCGTCCAATTATTGATTTGTTTTTAATATAACCTATTACAAATTGTGTGTTCTTGTACTACGGAAATAATAATTATTTTTTTCAAAAAAATTGGTTATACTTAAAAGAATTAGATTATTAGAGACATCCAAATAACAACCATCAGCGGCGGCAGAAAAGAGAATGAAATTTGATTAATTTTGTCTTGTCAAAACAGCAAAGGACAGAACTAATTAATTAATTATGCTATAATGGAGTAAAACAATCCGAATATTATTTTAAGTGAGTAGCCGTTATTTTGATAATTACTATGCTATTAAATGGTATTCCTGATTTGATCAATCAAATAAAAAATAGCAATGCATATACATACAAAATTTGACAACAATAAAAACGATGCCGACCACAAACAAATAAACAGACACACAAACAAACAGACAGCAGAAATTCGCCAATGGACCCTATTACAATATTAATAGCTTACGCTCGGAAAGTTCTAAAGGTTAGAATAAAAATAACTAAAAGTGGTGTAAGTTAATTTGAACTTAACTGGCCGATTTTGGGCTTCACTACACACTTCACAACTTCATTTAACGGCTATATTTAAATTATCAGAAACAGAGAGCGTCTCATTTATTAAAAAAAATTAAATTATAAAAATGATTGACAGATGAATACAGCAAATCCATTGGTTTTACCATGTCCTTTCGTAAAAATTACCAACAACGGATCAAATCAATGTAAAATAGAGTGTGACCAACACCATATCAGTAGCAGGAAAATCCGTGTCTTCCTTAATTATTCAAGATAGTTCTTTGAAATTTCTTACTTGCAATATTTATTGTTTAAGATAATTAATTCTTTCCATTTTTTAACTAAAATTGGATACAGTTTTTAGTCTTAAATTACAATTAAATCCGATAAAAGTGCATTATATATTTTGTTGCAAACAAACTATATTATTAAAAACTTAAGGTAAAGTCGCATACAAAATTCAACTACAAAGAAACGTCATTCGTGTCAAAATTTTCGGGAAATTAATATACCGAGTGACTATTAATGTTTCTATTTTTTTTTTGTCAGATTGGCAACATATTTAAAGTTTTATGAATGCCTATACCTAAATTAGATTAAAATTTTGGGCACCATTTCAGTAGCTGCCATCTTCTCATTGGTTTTTGAGACCCGCTCATGTCAAACTGACTACTGTAAACTGACATCGTACCAATAATAATTGAATTGCCAATCCAAACATTAATGGTCACCCGGTGTTATAAGCTGTGAGCAGACGTAGATTTAGCCACAATTCGTCAATGTGGCAAAAATTTAGGTGTTACAGTTATACTTACACGTCAAGTGAATATTCAAATCGACAATAATTAAGATTGATGATGACACATTGGTTACTGTATTGACGAAGTTTCTGTATTTCCTATTGGTGTTGAGAATGAGTCAAAATTTTGAACTGTTCATATAATTTTCTCAGCAAATAATCATATAGACTACTGTAACAGTGTTTTAGATCTATCAGATCTAGAAGAAACTGAGAGACCTCGGCTCCATAGGAAATGTAACGTTAAAGTTTTATGACTGTGTAAACCTCCGCTCATTAAGGATATATTAAGTATTACAATGCTTTGTGTGATAATTAGAATTATTTATTTTAATTATTGTAATTATTCAACCGTATCACAACCTATTTATTCACTGTTTTTTCCTTCATCTTTTCAATACTATTACCACAACCTTTCCAGGCTATATTATAATGTTGCAACTTCGTTCGTTTGACGTAGCGATTTTTTTTCATTTGTATTTGTAGATACAATGAAAAAACAGAGAAACAGTAATAGAATTGATAGAATACTAGTTATACCTACTATTAAGAGTAAATTTTTGAATTATATGTATCCTTCACCTTTCCGTTCATTTTGAAAATAATATCTTATTCTTTTGTCTCATCATTTGACCCACAAAAAACCTTCAGACTCGTTACAGGTTCCTGGAAGGTATACCACCAAACCACTCTTCAAATTAGCGGAACATCAAGACGTCAACAGATTTAATATATGTATGCTAATAAACGAGATTTAAAACAAAATGAAACAATTAAACAATAAAAATTGCAAACACACCTATTCAAAATTGTGAAATTGTGTATAAGGAAACAGGATTTTCGACTTTAGTATTACTTTAAAAAAGACGTCATGCGACCAACTACGTAGCAAGCTTTTATGAAAAATAGCGCGATAATTAAATCTGCAAGGATTAAACAGCCATATTCTTTTTGTTACCGGTTTTGAAACATTAACATTTGGAGTAGTGGTTATAAACGATAAACAAATAAGTTGAGAACCTGTTTTCTACCGCCCCTTGCATATGCGAAAACTACTACCTGAACAACTTCTAGCGACCAAGCGAAAATTAAAATGAAGTTTAACTAAGATTTTATTTTATAACAATTTTGAATTGATTATTTTTATCTTCTTCCAACCGTAGCCAAATGCATTAGATACACAGAAATAAATTATTATTCAAAATACATATATATTTTCGATTAATAGTTCCACAGCACCATCCACACTTTGAAGAAATCGTTTTAAGACGAGTAATGCGATTCTATTATTTACTATTGGCTACAGTTTCAGCTGACTTAACTTTATGGAAAAGTAAGTGTTTTGTATAGGTAGCTAATGAGTTTTGTACAACTTCATGTTTCTATTACGTACAATATCATTTGTATTTTAAGCACGTTTTCAACGTTCCAGCTCATCTTTCACTTTCCTTTAAATACATCAAGTTAAAATGTCATCTAATTTAATTACCACATACAAGCTTGTAGCATGAATGTCACTCCTTCTTAAAACCACACTAATTAGTAATTACCCTGACGTCATCATCATTGTCTATTTTATATTTTTGCCTAGGTCAGTATTTTTTTGTAAAATTTCTTTGACGTACCTGACTGTTCTTTAAATAGTTTTTAAAAGCTTGGTTTTTGTTATATATTGTTTATTCTTCACTTCCAAACCTTAATTTGAACCCAAATCAAAATAAATATTTAGATTTGAATTAACACTTTCGTCAATATCTAAAAACGATACAAGAAATCATGTGGTCAACGTTTCCAAGTAAAAACACATTTATACTCGTATTTGTTTCGATAAGCAAAGCTGGAAAAAATAAATACGAAACGTTTTTTATCAATATTTGTTAACAAAACACGCACAACACATCATTAAAAACGGATTTAAAACATTATCAACCGAGCTGAAAGTTATCACAATTCGTAGCCCTCAGCAACGCACTTTTGCCGCATTCCTGAATTTTGACGATTTCCTTTTCTGAAACTGCATCAGACGGTTTTGTGTTAATAGGACTACTTTAGAGTCATTAGGTTCAAGGTAGCTACAAATTTGACCTTCATGTCTTTATGATCATCCCAAACAAAAAGAAAAGTCGGAATCTGGTCCGAAAGCGATTTTCAAACTCGTTTTCAACGAGAATCCTTTTTCGAAATTGCGTTTTAAAATTTGCTGTCGAGACCCTGGCATACTTACATTTTTCGGCATAAACAGCAGTCAACAAAAATAAAGACAGGACTGCCGTGAAAACGCACGAGGTTCTTTGGATGTTTGCGCACATGACACTAGCTTACTTCTCGGCGGTCTGCACAGCACTGATATTGGTTAATATTTTATGGATGTATGATAGACGATATGTTCTTAATGTGTGAAGGACGCCGCTGCTGTAAGATTAAGTGAAGTGCTTGAACCACCTGAGTTTACACCGGTGATGCGTGGATTTCCCGCTTTGCACTTTACATGGGGATTTACGCAGGTGGGAACAGTGGTTTGTCCTCAGAAGAAATGGGAGTAGCTAGTTTATGAGTCGAATTTCGTTGTTGCTAAATGATATTGATTCTCCGAAACACGATTATTATATGCGACTGGGTTTTTCTGATATCTGAGCTCCGCGAAATGTTGCCCTTTTTATTTGAGATTATTAATTTGGGTTTTTGCTTATTTTGATGAAATATATATCGGGACTTTGGACTTTCATAAACAAATAATTATATTTTAAATAATTGCAGCTAATAATATTAATCAGATGCTACTTAAGTGAAGATAGACCTTCAAAACGCAGGTGATTTGCTGCTATTATTAGGAAAATAAAGTTTCTACTGGTGAAAACAAATTTATTTAACAATAATTATGCTCATTATATTATTTATTACACATATATAATTTTATTTACACAGGAAAAAATATCCGTAACTGTAATTAGCTACTGTAAGGTTTAACTCAGAGGAAAGTGGGGGAATTGTGTGTATTCACAATTAACACGTAATAATTGATCAACAAAGTGCATTATGAATACGTTTTTTTTTTGCTATACCTTGCAGTATTAACGTGATCACATCAATTTCCATTTTCATATTAAAAAAAAAAGATGAAAATAAATCGACACTTAGTCTTTCATAAGAAGTCATATTTTCTACTTCGTCATGACCACACTATTCGCTTCTTTTCTTCCTTGTCTAAGTCAGCAAATGTTTTTCTTTCAAGCGAATAGTTTCACCTCTTGTGTGGTAATAATGACCTGCTCTTTTTTTCTCTTTCAATCATTTTCTTAAACCGGTTAGTCTTTTATTCTTTTTTTTTTCTTCGTGATGATAAATTAGCTACTCTGACATGCTGTGGAGCTCAGTTCCAAGAATCATTGCCACCACTTGAAAAGTGGATTGTTCGCGTGGTGCTATTCGCTTTTTGTTTCTGGTTATTCAAATCGTCATTATTTTAATGTAAAACTATTATTTTCAACTATCTTAGGTCGACAAGTTCGTCTTTCGTCACAACGGAAGTAGAATCACGAGAAGATATAAAATCATCTGATGTGATTTGATTAAATGGAAAAAATGCTCGTGGTATTGAAACCGGAAATAGCCTTATCTATTGTAACCACTCTAGCGTACTGGGAGGGGAGGGAAGAGGAGGAGGGATAGACAAGGTACTTAACGTTTAAAGCGTAAGAATACTGAAGTTATTATATCTATTTTTATATTCTTTTTTTATTCACGTTAGGAATATTTGGTACATAATTAGATTATCATATATCAAAAAGTAAAAAAAAATTTGCCCCCAAGGTGTGATAAGATGAGCAACAAGGTGGGGCCTACAACAATTAACTTATGTTATTGTTGACAAAATTCACATATGAATGGATCTTCAACGTCTAGAACACGCAGCCTAGCCTTCATTTGACGCCGAACAACGACCGTTGCAATACGCTGAAACATGTTTATTCCACTTGATTTGTACCTCTTTCTGCAGAAATTGCGGACCTTACATGGTTTCGACCTTTTTATTTCCCGCGCGTTAACTAACAAATCATTGTAATAGGGTTCATCCAACGAATGGCTACTTTTATGTTTTCAATAGGTCTCCCGTTTCCGTCCGTCTGTCGGTCTCGCTGCCATCTACCGTCTGGCCGCAGTGCGTCGTATGTGTCGATTTTTATATCTTTATACATTCACCGACACGAAAAATGGGCCACCCTTATTATTATTTTTTTAAGATCCGACAATGTGCAAAATAAAGTACGATTTCGGTTGCAATACTTTGATGTTGTTATGCAACGCTTATTGTAATATTTCTATCCCAAAAGAACTAAAAAATATATTATTTTAATAGAAAATGAAAAAAATTCAATAATCAAACAAAGCTGAAAACAAAAGTTAAAGTTACGGCTATTTCCCCCACGAACCCTAAGACTGCTGCCATTCTCCAGGACATCCCATGAAATAAATTGTTTATTTCTTCTTGTTGGATATTCTCTCATTCCTTTAAAAGCATATTCTCATGTAAAGTGTGGGGTGCAGGTACACTCAATTAATATTCTGGTCAAGAAACAACATCAAAAATAAGCGTAATTAAAACGTCGAAGCACTGTACTCAGAAAAATATTAGCTGGTCCGTTTTTCATGCCGATGAATGTACCTATGTATCTTAAAAATGTCGTGTAGATGGTAAAACACTAGCAAAAATGTTTCTGATCATCCCCACCAACAATGTGATGACGTTATTCCAACATGTTTAATAGGTGTATTAAAATATTATTTAAATTTAAAAAAATAACATATGCTGCAGATGTCGTTTATGAAACCTCTTGATTTTTTACCACAGGCATCCAAATTTTTGGCTAAACAAATCACATTTAGTTAATAACATTTTGCAACTTTGAAACTACAAAGCCGAATACTCTGAAATGTTGCAAACGTCTGAGGGTTGTCGCAAGTTTATTATATATACTACATTTTTATTTTTCCAAAAAAGATTTTCATGTAAGTATAATACTGTTACGTTGATTGGGTGTTTTATAATCGGCGTGGGTAAAACTCAACAATTTATTTCTCAGTAGTACTAATTTACACGACTAACTATACAGCGATTATGTACAGAATAATTCCGACCCGACTGGAATGGATTTGACTAGACCCATATTCTCTCAACATTGACTGGACTCGACACGTTGACTGAATGAATCGTTGCCGAATGTGGCCTGTATTTAAACCCATACTCCCTTTCTAGATATTCGGCAATCGAGGTTTTTCTGGAATAAGCATCGTGACTTCTGCTTCCAGACTTTTTTTTAGCGAACGCCGTGCGGTCGCCGTCACCGACGATGAGTCCCCCATCATTGCCGTGCATACTAGAAAAAACCGATAGTCGTCGTACCCCGGGCGGCGCCGGCGTATGAGTTCATGTCGTAACAATACATATAATGAGAATTGTTTACATTTATTATAAAATCAATTCGCCTGTTTTGTTTTTGACTAGCAAAATAGTCAGTTACTTGCACGTTAAAATTAAGAATGCTTCTGATAAAAGATATTTCAATATTCAATATTGCTAAAGAACTTTATTTTATAGTCCCGATTCCCCCATTGTATTGGGCAAAAATGTTTTGATTCGTTTTAGAGTTGGTAGAGTTTATAAAATTTCAAGTAACTTTACATTCTCTGAACATGTTTCGACAAGATTCATGTTTACAAACAATTAAAATCATCTCGGTTTATAGGTAACTTCTAGTTAATTCAAACCAACGGATTTTTAAACTGAATTTGGAAATGTTTTTCTGTAATTGTGAAGCTAAACTTGACTGCTGTTAAAATTATGCTGATAACTTCAACTAGCATCAAAGAAAGTGATTAAATGAACAACTCTTACCAACTTTTCTGTCAAATTCGTGTCAAACACATCTTTGAAAATGCCTAGAATTCGACAACCTGCCAAGTATCATCACCTAAGTCAGTTTGAACGAGGCCGTGTAACGGTATTAAGATGTTGGTTGAGAAGGTCTGAAGAAGGACCTCATGAGCGTCGCCGCGGATCTGGACGTCCTAGGACTACTACTGCTCGTGAAGAACGTTACCTAAAAACTTTAGCACTAAGAGACACAATACCTGCTATGGAAAATCATTGGTTGGAAACTCTAGAAAGAAGACTGTCAATGGCATTCATATATCGCCGAATAAGATCTTATGGACTTCGTTCGTACCGAACATTTTGGTGTCTACTTCTTACTCCGCGTCATCGCGCTCGCAGACTAGAGTGAGCAGGTGAATTGGGTGCAGGAATGGCATAACGTGGTGTTCAGTGACGAGTCCCGTTTTTGTTTGTGGGCCCATGATAGGCGTAAGAGGGCCAGATGACTACGTAGAGAACGCAGAAATTTGGACCTTGCTCTTGAACGTCACACTGCTCTTACATAAGGCGTGATGGTTTGGGGGGTATATTAGTTATGGTATGTAGTAGATCACCCCTAGTTTTCATTGAAGGCAATTTAAACGCTACCGGTTATATAGCAGGTTAATTAATCCCACGTTCTGACAAGATAATGCCCGCCCACACAGGGCGAGAGTGACAACACAGTATTTGGACGAAGCTAATGTGGTGGTACTTCCATGGCCTGCGCGGTCGTCTGGTCTGTCTTCAATCGAGCACGTCTAGGATATGCTCGGTAACCGACTGAGTAATTTACGCCATCCTCCGGATACTTTAAATGATCTTCGGCTTCGTCTTCAAGAAGCTTGGCATGAGCTACCACAGGCCGAAATTAATCATCTGATTGAAAATGTACCTCGGCGAGTAAATGAGTCCATAATTAATTAATCGCGGTGGGGCAACACATTATTAAGTAACTTTGTTAATTGTTACCATTTCTTTTTCAAATTGTAATAATTTTCTTGTCGTACTACATTGCAACTTCTGTGAAAATTTGAACAAAATCCCTTGACGAATAATAGGTGTTGCGCACTTTTTATTCAAAGCAGTACATAAATTTGGTGTCTTTTAAATAATAAGTGATTAAACCAATGCACTATTTAAAGTACTACAATCTGATTCCATCTCCAACGTTCCAACAAATACATGTGAGTTTTATGTAGACCAGCACCTCATATTTTGCACGTTCACATAACCATCAAGATAAAACCAAGTTTCATCGGTAAAAATATTATGTTTAAAATTTCGCCCTTTTTGAAATTGACCAAAAACTAGTTACAATACAATCATAAAATTTATGCAAGATTGAAACTTTCGAGGTAAGTATATAATTTGGTCCCAGACGCTTAAGGGCAAACTAGGTACTGATAGTCTATCTAGAGTACCTAAATAATATTTTAATATTATTATCTATCTGTCTATTTTGTGTATATTTGACATTTAATAAATAATTATTTTTATCTAAGACAAGCGGTTTTTCGTACATGACCAACTTTGACTTTATACTTTAGCTCTTTACATATGATACGAAATTGGAATACCAATTGCTATTAACTTCAAAAATTTCTCCACTGCTCCATCTACTAGAACATTTTCAAAATCAGCCTTGATTATAGAATGTTTTTGTTTTTTCGTTTCGATAAAAATGTCGATAACGTATTAATACGTTATATTTTTATCTATTTGATGTGGATAAATATACGCAATATTTCCGCTGCGGTCATCTTTGAAGTCAGCAGATCTTCCATAAATATGTACTTACAACAAACAACTAGTAACAGCACTGATTTTAACACAAATATGTATATTATTATTATCATTACTATTATTATTATAGATACAATAAATGCTTATTACAATAAAACTCTTGACACTAGTTTTGAACGACAAGAAAACAAAAAGCAACTTCAGTATCCAGGTGTGTCATTTTTTCTCCTAAAAAACCTTATGAGAAATCTACATACAACAGTAGTAAGCTCAGTTGTGTATACCATCTTAGCGCAATGAAATATTGCAAACAGGGCAGCATAACCACTTTTTTTTTAAATCTAGACCTTCTAAAAAATGCAGTTAATACGTGCACTGTTATTATTATCATCATCATTTTGGTTTTCAATTTTTCATCTGGGACTCAAGTACGGTGGTAACTTAAGTGTTGTTATGAAAATGTTGACATCGTACGTAGAACAACTCTATACTCTACCTCTTAATTTCACATTTTTGTTTTCGTTCACAAAAAATAATTGTAATCTACTTCCTTTGAATTATTCGCTTTATTACGTTTCTGGAAAAGAACTATAAGCTTCTCTAGGAGTAAGTTTAGCTTGTAAATGGGAACATATCTGGTTCAAGGTTATTAGCCCCAGTGTTCTAAGAACATGTTCTTTTGTTCCAATCATACAAGGTTTTCGAAGGACTAAATTTTGTGTGCAATAAATGCAGCGGCAGGAAAACACGTGATAAATAAATCCCGACCACAAACACTTAATAAATCCACCTCTTTCCTCCGAATGCAAATTCTTGTATTGGTTTTTACACAGTAAACAGTTTTTTTTAGTTTGTTTTATAAACGCGACTGTTGTTAGTGTTTTTTATAATAACGTCATTTGCATTAAAAAAGAATTCAGGCTGAGAATCCAAGAAAACAATTATATATTTCAGATGCAATATGACTCATTTTCATTCATCAATTCTATATTAATATCTTCACTTTTCTTCGTTGTTTAATTGCATCTCTGTCTATCCAATGGTACGAATTTTAATCATCTTGAATTAATGTTCAACCCCAGTGAAACGCATTGTTCAAAATTTTGTTTGAAAAATGGCAGTTTTTCATTTTATGGGTCCAACCATCCAACAAGCTATAAATGCCTCTGCAGATACGAATTTATTTTGGCACGAGCGGAGCGAGTTTTTAAAAAACGTGTTACATGCTATGACTTGAAATTAAAACCACAATTATCCAAACTCTGAAATTTATTACCCTACAAAAAATAAAATACTAACAAAATGAATATCATCAAGGATTTATTAAACTACTTATTCTAAAAGATCAAACATATTTTTAACACAATTTAGCCTGCAGTACTGTACCATTCCGCATGTTGTTTAAGGGTAGTAAATACAGTGGCGTAAATAGCACCCCTGCAGATCCCGCAATGCGGGAGGGCGCAGCGCCAAAAGGGGCGCAGACCGTAACGTAACCGATATATTTTTTTTAATGTGCAAACGAGTAAGTACATATTTATATCACTTTTTAAATTTGGTGCATGGAGGTGCTTACTATAAACCGGGGCCGGGGGTGTGGGAGGGGGTTGGGGGCATTGAAAGTTAGCTACGCCACTGAGTAAATATCAGTCCCACAATCTATAAAATCAGTTGGTTTGGTTATTATACAAGTACATAAATATATTCTCAACCGCTCCTGTAAAATGACATAAAACTAAAACTTTAGCACAAATTTTACAATTTGTGTTCGAGTCAAGGTTTAAAATTGTGCCCAAAATTATAATTTCAAGGCATATCTATAGGTGCAGTTCAAACTTTAAATTCCACCACTAGACTTCCGTCAAAGCAAAAATGTCAAAAAAACGCTCTGTGTTATTCTAATTGTAGCTGTGACATCGAAAAACAGTTTACACGAAGTTTTGGCACTGACATTACTTCTTTCGTCTCATATGCATATTATGTTATGGTCAAAGGTGAAGGCTTAATTTAATAAAAACTCAATTCTCACCTTTGGAAATTTCAAACGACCAAATAAAATGAAGAAATCTGGTCTGAATTGAGAACAATGACGTAGTTGAGGTACAAATAAACATAGTTTAATGAATGACCTTGATTACAACAGCAATTGCGACACAACAATTTTAATCTCCAGATTTCGATTTTGTTATTATTTTGACGAACGAACAGGATACTATTACTGAAAATGACCAAAAATTTGTGGAGTGATCTATACTTTTCTGTTCTTCACGTCACTTGGAGATTCTGAAATTATTTAGACAGAATTTCCCTCGCCCCTGAAGCACAGTACAACATATCCAACTTTTTCGAAATTTATAAAATTTGCTTTCGCAAATTTCTTTTGTAGGATAACCCCTAAAATTTACAATATTGACATGTGCGTAGTGTTACAGTAAAGGTAAAGAAACATGATACGCGTACGTTTCAGATGAGTTTTTCCAAAACAAAAATTCAAACAGCTCAATACAGTGGTGATGTGACCAACTTAGATAAATCAATTATTTAGGTAAATAAATGAGTGTCGAATTTAAATGTTGTTAACACAATAAAGACTTATAAATTAGTCAATTAACTTTCCCAGAATATTGTAATATGTGTTGCCTATCAACAAGTTCAAATAATGCATTAATTCATTAAAGGTTAATAAGTCTTCTACAAGCACATTTTATTGAACAACATCGCATGGAGTGTTTTGTTAACATTTTTCGACCCTAATTTTTTATTTTATAGACACAAAATTGAAATGCCATTATTTTCTAAACGAAAGCACCACTTTATGAACAAGCTTTCTCAACTTCTTGTAGTTAAAACCTATTTCGTCATACGGCCCCAATACCGATGAATATTAGTTATTACAAAAACATTTTTTGAAATCAACATGAAGGCGTTTGACGTAATAACCTCGAAATAAGTATTCCACAATTTTTAAACTGGAATTAATTAACAAAATAGGTCAGCGCTGTCAACACGCAAACCAGTCAATTCAAGCCATGTTTATCAACAAATGGAAGAGAAAGTCAAAAGTTGGAAGAAAATTTTTAAATTGATGTGTGCACAACCCGGTTGTGGATAAAGGTTTTAAATAAAGCGTATTTATTTATCATTACTTACTTCCGACGATAATTATTTTTAGCTGCACGATGGTGAACTTATATTCTAGTGTTGCGTGGCGCATACGTATTTATGTTGCTAGCCGTTTCAACCAACAATATGTTTTTGATATCAGCAAAAGAACACGTTTGTGTGGAAAATAAGTGATAGTAAACAATGTCGAGTACTTTACAAGTTAGTAAGAATTTAGTGAATATAGTGGGAAACTGATGCGACTCGTTGCGCCTGCACAGTGGCAGTGATTTTGTGTCCAATAAAAATACCTCCGGGATACTATGTGGTGGTTTTTTCTATAAAATTTAAAAGCACATAGGTGAGTAAGTATTTAAATGTATTTAAAATTTATTTAAAAATTAAGAAAATACTCATTACATAACATACCGTGATAGCTGATTTATTAAAAATTTATACTTAGAACGGAAGACTACAGCACAGTTCCAAAAGAATCTGACGAAAAGAATGTGTATTATAAATTAAATATTTCCACGAAATCTGAAGTATGTTATCTATTCATAACATTCCACAGCAAAGACGAATTTAGTTTAAATATGTAACTATAATTTAACAATCTTGTTTATTTTTTAATACAGACTGCTTTATACTCGATTTTAATGACTTTTCACATCTGTTTGAAGTGACAACTTTAGACACAAATAAAATACATAAATAAATAAAAATAAAATGTAGGTATCAAGTTTAAGAAACACGAAATAATAATTAATACAATGATAACGAATGTGTTTGATGATAATGATATGTATAAAATTAAAAAGTCTTTTTTATAAAATTGGTTAAAAAGTTGTTTTTATAGTACTGGTACCTATTTAAAAGTCACTCGAAAAATTGTATATCCTTTGTTTTTCTGCTATTATATCTACCTGAATACATATGTCATAGTTATGTACGTTGTCGCGCATCAACAAAAGGAAAGCATTTCAGCTTGATTTATTGCCATAAAGGTTTCAGGAATATTTTTCATTATCGTCAGAAAAAAAAATATACGTGTCTAATCTATTTTTGTAGATAATGAATCTGCTTTAAGCTGTTTTATTAACACGTACATAAAAATTGGTTTAAGGTTATTTAAATAGAATTTTCTTCACTCTTGAAGTATCAAACAATTTTTCGTCAGCGTTTTACCAGCTAGACGATATTCTAAAAATGCACAAAAAATTTCACAGAAATCCGTCCAGTAGTTTCGGTAATTATGGTCGAAATGGGAGACATATTTTTTCATCTTTCAGGAATCAAAAAACGTCGAGCTCATGCTCGGAAAGTAAAAAGAATTTAGATACATGAGATAAGAAACGAAAATTTGTTTGTCTCGTCTTTTCAATATGTGAATTTTTTGCATTTTTCTTTGATCGGAGAAAAACTAGTATGTTGTAGGTAATGTATATTTTCGACTTCTGGTAGTTCCTCGGTTACCGCCTCGGGCGGAATTTCTACCAGCCAGTGTCTGAAAATGTTTCTAACATTTTAGGCAAAAATCATCAAAATTACGACAATTCAGCAAAATTGCATTGAATTCCCAAAATTTTGGATTTTCAATAACGCCTTCAGGTGTCACCAAGTTGCCTCATGTACCCAACGTATAATTTGCATGTTGGAACGATTATAATAAGTTGGAATAACAGGACTGAATTTCAGTATGGTTTCCATCGGCTCCTATACTTGCTATAGTTTGTGTTAGTGGTTAGCACAGACTTGATAAAAGATAACACAATAATTTAAATACCATAGTTTTTCATATAAACAAAATGAATAAAAAGTTTTAGTTTGTAGAATCGTTGACTAATGAAATTATTTTAGGACAGATATGAAACATACAGTAAAGCAAATTTTATTTGTGATTTTCTAAAAAAATGTCAAAGGAATAAAAATTATTGCTTTGCTTAATGAAACTAATTCTGCAATTAAAACTACAGCAACGAAATTTGTTTAAGTAAATTTTCTGGATAAAAAATAATTTACTTCAAACAACCTGCGTTATTTAAAAGTGTTATATGTTAAATATTTGTTTTTGGCTAAAATAACAAATAAAAAAATCCTGTTTTAAACTTAACCGTGGGACATATTGTACATGAAGGATGTTCTAATACTAGCCAAAAGCAAAATCTTCCTGTAGTGTAAACACCAGACCTAATGATTTTATTATTTCTTGCTCATTTTATTCTCATTACTAATTCTTTCAAAATGACATGTGTTTTTATTCCTACCAGAGACACTTGTTGGTGACAAGATACCGCAGTGTGAAAATAGTATATTAAAAAACATGTTTTATAAAGTCTGTTACTAACACACGAGTTCAAGTGTGTAAAACGAGCCGCTTGCGGTAAGTTTTTTTTTTTACTAATTTTTCTACCCCGTATTCATAACCGAGCTATTAAAATATGCAAACTGAATTCTTTAATTATGTTTTCAAGACTTTAGTTCTAAATAACCAATAAAATAAACGTCAAATGGACGAAATTATATTTTTAATTATAATTAAATTTTACATTAGTCGTAACACTCGATGTGTCTTGGGCACTTGGATTAATATCAAATAAGCTAATTGTCATATAAATATTTTATTAAAAATTATTTTCACCGCTAACTGTTTTACTGTCACGTGATTCATTTAACTGCAGTTGTGTAGCTCTGGGGCCTCCGGATAAGTTTAGATTTAGCCCAAACATTTGGGGGTCACTCTGAGCAATTTTTTGTATTTGAGGGGGCAATAAAATTTTTCAAAGATTTTAATAACGCCAATTTTTATTTTAAAATCGCAAAAAGGTACAACGTAAGATAATTTAGACTCCACTCCATTTTCTATTCTCATTTTTCAATATGTCGATGTCTCAATTAAAAAAGTAAAAAATCGCAATAACTATCAACTTTAAATATTGAAAACTGTTTCGTACATATGTTTATGATTGCGGGGAGTTAGGCAAACAGCAATTCCTGTCCACCCTCTTATTGCCTACCCTTATCTACCTCCCTAAGATTATCCCCACCCACACATGAAAGCCGTCATCTAGTACCAGAAAAATTCAAAAAGAGAAGAAACGGTTGTTGTTCGTTAACCCTCAAGGCTGCAACACCTCGTGGTGGCCTTTTTTGTCGGTGTTATTTTTGTTGGTGCAAGGGGCCCCAGCGCCTCCTAATCGTGGAAGCAAGTAAATCGTGGTGGAAGATCGGTGCAATTAGAGTGAGTCCATTGTCCATTTTCCCCATATTGTTATTCGTATATACATAACTTGCGTCGTAAACATATGGTCCTTCGAGCCGGATTGTTTAATTAGCTCATGGTTTACAGTATTTTGTTTCGTGATACACTGCAAAAGCTATTCATATATTTCGCGTGCACACTTTTGCGTATATTTCTTTGTTCAGTAGAATTGGTTTTATTGGTAGGGTTGCTTGACCTTGAACAAGGGTGCTAACGGAAGCGAAACACGTTCGTAAGCTTTGCGTTGTCTTGAAACAGGTCCGTAAGATTTGTAATGGCGGTAAAACTGAAGGAGGCTAGAGTAATGCGAGCCCTTGCGTATAATCAAATGGTAGAGACCCATGACGTGGCCTCCTCCGCGTTGCTGCAAAGTACGCTCAAGGGTTTATTGTCATTTCGGTACCATCGCGTTGAGGAAGTTGTGCAGGATTTTCGAAAATATCACGCGTCGGTTATTTTTTGCCTGTCTAGTTCAACCGAACCGGATTTTAAAAGCGAAGATGCGGTGAGGAAAGAATTTGAGCGGTTATATTGTGAAACCGGAGTCGCATTGAATACTCCCACTCCTAGTAATCATAATCAAACAACGAGACAAAATAATATTCGATTGCCAAAAATCTCGTTGCGAAACTTCGATGGCGATTTTGTACAATGGTATTCGTTTATTCAAACATTCAATACGGCCATTCATAATAACGAATCATTACCACCCGTTGACAAATTTCAGTATTTGTTAAGTTGCCTGTCCGGCGAAACGTTAAACCTGATGAAATCGCTGACATTATTAGGGGATAATAATAAACTGGCTGCTAAATTTTTTCACGGGATTATATCCATTCCAAAGTTAACAAAGGAATCTGCAAAGGCACTTCGCTCAGTTCTCGATAGCTTCAAAGAGCATCGCGGGGCCTTGGAAGCGTTAAAAATTGCTGACAATTTAGAAGATTTTCTGTGGTTTAGCATTCTGTTAGGTAGACGTGAATACTAGGAAAGCCTTTCAGGCCGAATGTCGGACTCAGAAGATTGATTTTCCAACTCGCGAGGATCTAGAAACCTTTATTGAGTCACATTGTAAGGTGTTAGATTGTTGTCCGGATCCCACAGGAGTTGCTCGCCTAAAATCGTTTAATTTAGGTGGCCCTAAAGGTCACAACAAGGCGTCATTTGTTGTTACGTCGAATCCAGTAAATAAATGTCCGTTTTGTACAAAAGCTCACAACGTCATAAAATGCCCAAAATTTGTACAAGCGTCGCCCTTTGATAGATATTCATTGATAAAACCCAGCAGGACTTGTTTTAATTGCCTTAAAAATGAACACGCGGTGAATAAATGCCAATCAAAAGGGCGCTGCCGTGATTGTGGTGGGCGACACCATACGTTATTGCATTTTAAATCTCGTAAGTCCTTGCATGCGCCTTCGGAACCTGATACCACGGAGGCAGATACAGACAGAACTTCGTCAGAGTCCCTCACGTCTTGTATTGTTGATTCACTTGTCAGTCCCTTGAGTTACAAAAAAAATATCTTGTTAGCGACCATAGTGTTGGAAATTCGCGATAGATGTGGAAATTTCCAGTCTCAATAAATTGGGCCTACTCAAAACCAGATCGACTCAGATACGACCGCGCAAAATTCGGCAGCCGACTTTAGATTTGGAATTATATGTTCTGCCACGTATTTGCGGCAAGCTGCCGGCGTCACCAATAGACCCGTCACAATCTCGGCTTCATTTTTCTCGGGGACTCGATCTCGCGGATCCCAGCTGATATAAACCGGGTCCCATTGATGTACTGTTAGGGGCAGACATATACTCGGCGATTGTTTGCAACCACGTAGTTGACCATTCCGCAACACCCGCCCTGGTTAAGACTATCTTCGGGTGGGCCTTGCTGGGTCCGATTCAATCCATGTCGTTACCGTCTACGCAGTCGTTACATATACCGCTGGAGCCTTCGTTGAATGACGAATTACAAAAATTTTGGTCCGTCGAAGAAATCCCACACAAAACAATTCCATCTGACGAACAAGCTGAGGCAATTTTTAGACAAACTATTTCTCGAGACCACGGTTGTAGAATAGATAGGTTGATACACTAGCA